TGTGTGTGTGTGTGTGTGTGTGTGTGTGTGTGTGTGTGTGTGTGTGTGTCCTAATCAATGACAGCCTCGTGTAAAGCTGTGTGTCCCTGTTCACATCCTGCAGCTTCAGAATCAGAGACACAGAGACGACATTCAGCACCCACTGCTTCATTTCTGCTTTTTTGTTTTTCTTTTTTTTCTTTGTGCCACATCCTGTCAGTAAGAATAGCTGGAAGTAAAAAGTACAACTGTCACTAACTGGAGCATGTGTCTCCTGGCTCTGGATGTACCTTTTAACCAGAACTCCCAGTTTCCCATGTTCTGGCACCGCTTTTGTTTTTTCCTACATGAACAATTTGATCCTTTGAAATCCGTTACCTTTAACACAGTTTGTCCAGAACACGGGACCTGACTGGCATCCTTTCAAAAATAATGGCTCCGAGAGGACCAAAGCTGCTTTCTTAGACTCTTGTTTACCAGAATTACATTTGAAAAGGAAATCCTGTGGTATAAATAAATCTCTTCTGGTTGTTTGATGGTCTTAGCTCAGATGACAGTAATTGCGTAAACGCTGATTCGGCACTATTGTTTTCCTGCTTTTGTTTTTACTTTTTGCATGTTTTTGAAGTTTGATTTCTGTGTAATTTGTGCAGTTTTAACCATTCATCAAGTTTTAGCTCAGTCAGGAGATGAGTGCTAGGACTTTAAGTTTTTATGACTTTTGTATTTTTTAAAAATATTTACGTTTAAGCACAAATATTTCCCCGTAAACTACATTGAGTTTTTTTCACCTTATTTTGCTTTAGCTTTTAGCTAACCTTTTGATACTTTTATTTATAATTTCTCTCATTTTAGCTAACGTTTTGCAGTTTATAGTTAGCATGTTGATACATTATTAGCATTTATCTAAAGCTTTTGCTGCTTTTAGATAGTGTTTTTCTATTTAACTTTTAGCTGGCATTTTGATACTTTTATTTGTTTTTCTAATTGTAGGTAATATTTTGGTGTTTATAGTTAGCATTTTGATGCATCATTAGCATTTATCTACAGCCATTTGCTGCATTTAGTGTTTTTACATTTTTAGCTTTTTTATTTTAGCTAACCTTTTCGTAGTTTTAGTTATTGTTTTGCTAATTTGTTTCACTGTTTAAAGTTAGCATTTTGGTACTCTATAAGCTTTAATCTTTAGACTTTTACAGCATTTAAACAGTGTTTTTTTATTTTTAGCTTTTGTTATACTTTTAGCTAATGTTTTGATACATTTTTTTATTGTTTTGCTAATTGTAGCTAATATTTTGGTGTTTATAAATAGCAAATTGTACTTTATTAGCATTTATCTATAGCAGGTAAAAAGAGTACATATATACACTTTCACAACATCTTCTGCAGGTAAGTTACTGACTACTCATAATTACAATACAGACACCCACTAAAAAAAAAAAAATCTAAAAAGTGTTTTTTAATTTGCAACCTGTTTTATATGAGATAAATAACATAATAGCTTGTAAAGAATGTTGTTTATTTTTTTATTTGTTCTTTGTTTTTGCAAGTCATTGCAACCCAGCACTCTGACAGCAGGAGACCTTGGAACCCGAAACAAGATAATTATAAACTACCAAGTCATGTGACGTGATTACAACACAATGACTTGCATTTTTTTTGTACATG